GTGGGACTTGGAACTCCCAGGCCCTGTTTTGGGCTTTGCTGCCTTGTGGTTTTCAAAGTTGAGTAACATCCTCGGAGCTCCCGATCACAAGCAGGCTAAGGCATTGTTTGGGGCAGCGTTGCTGGTGCCTGTGTAAATGTTGTTGCAAAGGCACATTCATTGAAAGAATATGTTTGAAGACTCCCTAGTTCAAATAATTGAACTTTAGCTGGAACTTTTTCATTTCTCATTTTGAAAGGATGTTCCATTTCAAAAACTATTCCATTCTTTTAAAATCATTACAGAGTTCAAATAGGAATCAAAACTGGTTTGGATTAAACTCAAACTTTATTATTTTTTCATGCTGCCTTGCTTGCTGAAATGTTTCTCTTTAATTTTTCCCCTCCTCAAATTGCCACTGAACCACTTTATCACTACATGCGATAATGAGACTAAGCTCCAGTTTCCACATCACAGCGTCTACCACACTATGAATCTAAACTGTCTCTTTACCCCCGCAGAACCTCTCCCTAACCATACATTGAGGCACAGACATAAGGCAGTACATGTGGGAGGTTTGCCATACTGCTGCCCTAGAGATAAGCAGAAAGCTTCACTGAACAAAGCTGCACTAGCATTAACCACACAGCTTTTAGAGCCGGACTACGGACATATTCTAATTAATCACAATTATGCAAACTCATGTATTTGCATATAGTCCCATGCACAGAGTTACAGGGAATTTGGCAGATGCCTACTGGATGTGACTCAGCCAGGAAGGGAACCTCAGTGCTTGCCCCAGGAAAGCAAGCTGAGCGGTGAGACTCAAGGTTCTCCCAGCCAGGGGAACAGGGGAAGAAACAAAGGCTCGCTTAAGAGTGCAGTGCCGCTTCTCTGGAAAGTTACTGTATTTCCCTATTTAACAAGGAAGCTACTCTCTGCTTCATACTTCACATCTGAGTTTTGCATGGCCCTTTAGTGATTCAACTAAAATGCTGTGCTCCTCTTTTGAACTGGCAAAGTCAAAGGCAGCTGCCAGCTGGGCAGCACTCTAAATTCATAGCTCTAACACCTGGCTTTGACAATACTAAACCTAATGCCTCAGTCAAATTCCCAACAGTAATGCTATTCACCTTCCTGAGCCCTAATCAGCTATCAGCAGAGCTCCAAAGGGAGGGAGGTGAATCTCAGTGGCAAACGCACTCCAGGGCATTAAAGTCTATGGATGTGCAGCTTCAATCTATGATACTCATAACATCAGGCTGCAGACTACTTGCCCCATAAGGGTCACACACTCAATTTTGTCCCTGTGGGGACTAATCCTGGCAGATCAAGTATTATTTATGGCTCTAAAATTATCTAGATCTTTTTGTCTCTGCAGCTGGGAAAGTAGGTTTTTGTTAGACGCTTCTCAGTTACAGAAGAAGATATTGCTGGTTGTAGTCTATTTATTAATATGCAGGCACAATCCTCTGCAGAACAACAGCAAGTGCAAATTCACTAAAAAGGAAAACTCACTCTGTTTTTTTCCTGGAAGAGAATACAGAGGTATTCTCCCTGCTCCCACAGATGCTGCAATTACCTCCCAGTTTCTTTTTCCCAAATGAAGCAGAGATCTTCCCCTGACTTCTCAAATTCAAAAGCAAGTACCATTCCAGGTTAGCACCGAATGCTTACAGGAGCGCAGTTGAGAGGTGCCTCACCTGTACCTATCAAAGCAGAATAGCTAACAACATGTTAAAAAAGACAGATAAAAGAAATGTTAAAAACTCTGCTTTTCATAATCAGATTGCAGTAAGTCCAGAAAACTTGTAGGCTGAAAAGACTATGTTGATACAAAAAGAAAAAAGAAAAAAAAATTCTTAAATGAATGTGTGAATGAGGGTGAGCACTTGCAAGCAGCATGGCAGTGGAATACAATGAAGAGGGAGAATCTTCCCACTCTTCTTTCCTGAATGATTGATGTTATAATCAGGGATGCTGGAGCTACACAAGAAGAGAAAAATATAAGGGCATATTCTTGACTGGTGAAAATGAAAGCATTCACGTTGATTTCTGTGGAACCACTGCTGTTTATGCCACTGCAAGATATATCCCTAAGAGAGGTGAGATAATGTGCAAGGATGGTGAAGATAAAAGCACATAAGAGAAATGAAAACTTATCACAGGCACTGGGTTCCAAGTAAACACAGCTCATAACCTCAGAAAGCCTTCAAGAAGTTGTTCTTTCAGTTTTACTTGTGCTTTATAAATAACAATGAATGCATATACTTCTCTGTTATGAATGCCTCTCCAGCAATGACATGTTGTCATTAATCATGATAGGATTCATTATTAGCTTTCATCTGAGGGTTTTTTTCAGTACAATAAAATGTTTTGCCTGTGCTTTTACACATGATTATACCAAGATATAGCTATGTCTTGATTACTTTTTTTAATACAAGAGGGACAATGCATACAGCCTTCCTCAGAGGGCACGGTTTGTTTTTTACTGTGGAGTACAAGAGGTACTGAATGCAGTGACTGTGTGCTAACCTCCCAGCGTGCACACCGCGAAACTGTCACACAACTGCATAGAGCATTGCAAATTAGGGCTGTGGGATCTAGTATGTTGCTGGTACTTTTATCTGCAACTGCATGCTTCAGCTGACTCTTGCTAATCCTTTTCTTTCTTCAGCGTACAAAGTTTTTGTAGTACATCTATGAAGGATATAAATCTGAAATTATAAACCACTGTAAGACTGAGAAGCAGACAGCAAATGAAAGAAAATTTGAGTTGCCCTCATTTAGTCTTTTCTACACTATACGTAGGAGGCTTGAAGGATTTATTATTTATTTTAGCAACATGTAAACTTTTTTTCTCAAATCATTCAAGTCTTTCATATTTTAAGATTTACTATAACTTTATAATATGCTAATTTATGATACAAAAGTAGAAAAGCAGATGAAAACAGATTTTGAAAGTTCTCCAGACCTTACTGTTCTTATTCTCGTCTAACACCACTGCTAACAAACAGCTGGGAGAGAGGCAGTCCTTCTTCAAGACTACCTCCCTACCCCTTCCAGTAAAGGCCAAAAGCTCAATAGCCCTCTCAGCAACTCTAGCTAAATTTGGGGAAAATTGGGCAATCAGACCAAGTGTCATAGAAAAACCTGGTATTCAAACAGGATGAAGAAACCTCCCTCTCCCATTTTGTTTAAGAAACAGCAATAACTTTAATAACTTCACCAAATCTGCACAAAAGTCTGTGGCATAATCCAGATCACCTGGTACACAGGGTGATAACACTCCCCAAATTCCCACAGATTTCAGCGAGGCCAGGATTTCATTCCTGCTGTTAACTTAGCATAAAATCTTCAGTATCATCTCTCAGAAAAGAACTTTTGCAGTTATTTTTTAGCAATACTTGGACTGCTTTTTTTTTTTTTAAGGGGATGTGCAAAAAGGTTGGACTAGAAGGGCCCACTATAAAAACTCAGATGTATAAACCTTACTGCTATTCTCCTCCAGTATCCTATTTGAATATATATTGAAAAGGTTTTGCAAATTTCTGCTTATACTTCAAATATACTTCTTAAAACCACAAGTGGTCTGCTTTGATTTACACATAAGCACATCAAAGATTAAAGAGCAGGACAATTACAATGGAGCTGATGAATTCTTAATCTCAGAAACAGTGGTAAATTAAGGGAAAACACAGTCTCGTTACTGGTCGTTCTTTTGTGATTAAGTATTAGTTATCTGCTATGTTTGACATTCTGTAGACCTATTTATTTGATTAATTTAATTGTTGTCCTAATTAATTTAATTATTTTGTAGCAAGGGCTGAGAAGCTGGTGCATTCACGGTTCTCTACATGGAGCTCAACTGATTACCAGCGCCACAGTTTGCTGAACTGATAAAAAGCCGCCGCCCGCTCCCCGGTGCCCCTTTCGCTTGCCTGGGCTTGACTGATGTGCCCTCCGCTAGCTCCTGCCTCCGCGCCGCTCTGCGCAGATTAATGTAGGGGACGGGATTATTCACGGGGCGTTTAATTAAGCGCGTAGATCATTTTCTGCAGGAGAGAGCCCCCAGTCCTCGCACTATTCAAGTGATGAATGGACATAAACAACTCTTCGATTCGCGAAGAGATAAATAGAATAAAAGGGGGGTGGTGGTGGTGAAGGGAGGCTGGGAAGCACAGGGAAGATTGCGGGGGGGGGGGCAGGGAAGGGGGATTTGGGATTGCTTTAGTTTGTCACTCCGCGAAACGGACGCATCTTCACGAAGCAACTTTCGAATAACCAGACGACGGTGGGCTGGGCTCTCGCCGTCCCGCGGAGC